TGGAATTCTGAAGAATGTATAAATGGTACCAAATATTTGGAAGCATACTGTAAACTTTTTAATAATTGCATACCAGCATTTATAAACATAAGAAACTATGTATGCCCTTCATGATTTATCATGTAGAAATAGGCAATGCAGATCAGGAAAGAGTATTCAAATAATTTATATGAAGGATACTCAGAAAACAGATAAAGAAATAAAAGAAAATGGAACCCTTGCCTTTGGAGCCAATGTAACTTTAGATTCATCTCGAGGTTCTGCATTCACTTTAGCGGATCCGTCAAATATAGAAGGAAGTTTGCGTATAAGAAGTTTAGACCCTGCATAACTGGAGATAAAAATAAGGTAAAGGGGACCGAACAAAATAGAAACTTAGATTTAACTGTATGATTGAACAACATAAATAAACATAAACCAATGAACAGATGATGTCATACACTAAATACAGTGCCTATGCAGGAGAATCTATGAGAAATATGATTTACTGACAAGAAAGCAGGTCTTATAGTTTTATAGTTTGTCCCGTAAATTCATTCCTGAGACTAATAGATGCCTGCAAAAGGATACGAGAATGGGAAATAAAAGCAATTTATGTCTTAATAAGACAAAATGTATATTGCATGTGGAAAATATATAGCAAAGCTGTTAAGGAAATTGCATGAGCTCTTTCAAAAATAAAAATAGATGGAAGAGTTAAACTGTTTCGTAAATCCTGATGATAATTGTAAATTTCTTAACCAAGTAACAGTTCGATGTTGTAAATTGATATCTCCAACTATATGAAAAATACGATTGCTTTAAGATATGCAAAGTCGTAACCCTGTAATATGCAGGAAAAGATAAAATTATCAACAACCAATAAGTTTCATGCAACTTGTTTGCGGAATAGTAGATAAACTGCAAAAGTGTTTTGGGTATGAAGCAGAACAAGATACGAGAAATTTAGAGAAGACAATAGGAGCACCTTCAGCAAATAGTGATGCAAGAAGATCTGGTGCCTGCACGTAAATTGTACAAGCATTCATAAACTCAGATAATTTATGAGGTTACATCTTGTAAATAATGCAGAATGCAGAAAATCAATTTTGTACGCTAAAACTGAAACGATGGCAGAGGCAAGAAAAGGTAAAACAGAAGGGGAAAAGTAGAAAAGAAATAAGGTAAATAAGTATTATAGATGAAAGAAAATGTCCATTTATCATGGTAAACCTTGACCATATGCATATTGTTCTCAGCACCTGGTCTGGAGCAATTTAACATTATTTGGTTCAGAAAGGTAAAACATTAATTAACCTACCATTTAATCACAGATTCTATCAGTGATTATTAATTTAGGAACTACTTCGGAAAATCAATATCCTTACCTTAATTTGATCATCAACTTCCACTATTTCATGGGCAATGACCGGTCCAGCATCTAAGGCACGTACAGTAAATGCTAATGAGACCCCCGTCTCTTGAACACCATCCTAATGAAGAGACTGAATGGTACAAAGGCAGTAGACTTGGGTGTATGTTGACTGTTCCTGAGAAGACAGAAGGATGCGTTGCAACTTCTCAAGTAAGATAGCACATCCTTTATCCTTAACAAGATCATTGTTCTTAATACCAAAAGATTCTTAAAAATGCAAATATTATATGCACAATTTGAAGCCTAGATTTGATTTTTATGCAAGTAATTCATAATAACACAAGGGATCATATAATAAATAAACTACATGCAAAAAAAATTTTTTTGATAGAAACTACATGCAAATTCTTAACAATTGTACTTTCCTCCTTTTCACCTATAGTTATGTTGATGGAAACTTTGAAAAGAAGTGAAGATCAAATCATGAAAAAAAAAAGAGCTCCAAAATACCTTAGAGATACTAATCCTAAGCTGTTTAACTATCCGACAATACATATAGTTGGCATAGTTAAGACACCAACTACAACGAAAAACCTCTCTGCTAAGTGGTAGATGTTTCACAAGTTCAAGTCAACAAAACTAGCAATAACATTTTATGAAAGAAGCTAGAAGTCTAGCATTTGTGGAAAGCTGAATCAGTAAAGATAGCATTACTACTATACATTCAAAGAAAAAATAGTTGCAGTGTTTGTTGACAGGAGAACAAACATTAGACAAGCACAAACATAGACATGGCAAACAAGCAGAAACATTAAACTCCAAATCCATTAACAAAAATATCATGGACTAACCTAATGGTGGAATGTTGAAAAACTTGGTGGGTAAAATATTCCCATATGCTGCAGTAGTGCAAAGTTCAGGCTGCAAAGCTCTTAAACTGGACAAGAAGATCTCCTATATAAAGTAGGAAGAAATACTTCTTATAAGCAGGTTAGAAAAGTTAATGGCTTTTATATAGTACTACATTACACAAAGTAGAAATACTTCTACCTTATTTTGGTTGCTTCAAAAGTGTATAAATACAAACTGAAGCATACCAAACCAAGGAATAACTAATCAAGACCCACGCTTTTATCAACCCAACCGCAAGTTAAAAAGGTAAAAAGAAACAGATAACTACATATATGATCACAAAAACAGAACATATGAACGGATCATTATGGAGACTAGACTTTTATACTGATTTGAATTAACACAAACATTACATTCCACTCAACAACTCAATAAGAGCTTTTAAAAATATTGAGATTGAAAAGTAATTAGATCATATACAAACAGGATATAGGCTCTAACTGGCTAGGCTCCAGATTCTCACCCCCACCCCTCTTTTCCTTTTTCCGTACAAAGATTTCTAGTTAACAAGATTTCTCAATTTCTAACTGGACCAAAAGTTCAAGATTATCAGAACAAGATAGCAGTAAAATTAGACTAATCGAATGAGAACATTATCATGCAGTTTTAGATTTTCCATAAGAAACGATGAATGACTTAATCTTCGAAACTATACTAAATTGGAAAACTGAGAGAAAAACTACCTCTACTGCACGTTCAGGTGTAAAGATGAGGTCAGCAGAAAAGCCTCTATTAAGAGCATACTGAGCCACTGGTGAAGGCATCATCTTTCTGCCCCTATCTCTTCTAGAAGGTGGCTGAGTAACAAGTGCTGCAATCTGAAATTACAAATTTAGCAATGACTATCAATGAAATTATGAAAGTGATAAAACAATGCTGCCAATAAACGAGTATTTTAATCTCTTACGTCAGCCAATGCCTACACCGACTAATTCAAGGTACAACGACAAGAAAACCAGTGTTTCAATTGAACACAATTTGGGTTTTAAGATATTGGATATCATATCCCGGAAAATGCTAAAAATTGGGGATACCAACTGATAGGCTGACTCCCACTTCTGAAATGGATTTCTCATGTACTTGAACCGTCGCTTTAAGTAAAACACAATCGGACTGCTATGGAGCCGAAACCCATAATTTTTTAGCTAAATATCAATGAATATGTTCTCCTTTACATTATCTCCAAAGGAGAACATATTTTCAACAACTAAAAAAAACATTATCAAAGAGCTTATAAAGGACCAAACAACGGTAAAAAATTCAAACTTTTTTTCTCTCCAGTACCTCAAAAGAAGAACTTGGCGCAGCAGAGGCATTGAAGAGAGCATCTAGAACTGTTGCAGAGACCTTAAAAAAGATAGCCCATTGTTTAGAAAACAAGACAAAACAGCATAGATAAATATATTCAAACATATACGTGTAGACTTGTAGTACTAGGAAATGAACTCTTTTTGTTCCCACGTAGTTTGAAGTAGAATTCAAATTCTTTTATTTGTATGTTGATCATGTAAAATAGTTGTAAACATTTTGATTGATCCTTGTAACCACTATTTTTTTTTGGAGGGGAGTGCTTGTTAGTTGGCTACTCCATATATATATATATATATAACTTTTATTTAATATAATAATTCAACTTGGTACAGATTCAATGTCAATTTTTTATTATTATTCATCATTAGCGTTAGGATACTCAAAATCTATGGAAAACAACCTAATGATTTGCGTTAACATTTTGCTTACTGTGTCTAGTTTGTATTATGTTTTTGGTGTTCTCTTTAGGTTTAAATGCATTATTATCTTTTAAATTATGTACTTTGTATTAAATTGTTTCTTAAAGTAATTTTGAGTTTAGAGCAATTGTCATAATATCGGCTTCAATTGGACAGGTCAGCCGGCAGCATTCACTGGACCAAAAAGACATCATGCACAAGACCATCACTGTCCTACGTTACTGGTTACTTTTATTAGTAAAAAATATTCATACAAAATGAAAATGTTAGTATTGATTAACCTAAATAATAAGTAAAAAAGTACCTAAGGTCCTTATACTTTTTAAAAATATTAATGAGGCGCTTAAATTATTTTTATAATAAATGTGATACTCAAATTTAGAAAAAGAACTCAAGGTTGCTCTTTGACCAACAATTTTCGTCGTTGACCGTTACGATACTGACGTGACATTTCCCGATGCTGATATGGTGATCTACTATGTTGACAGGGCGGTTAACTATGGCTGGTGACATGGCCGATGATGTGACAGATGGATTAAATTAATTTTTTTATTAAGTTCGAAGGTCATATTGAGGTTTTTCAAAGTTCAGAGATTTATTTATTTATTTGAAAAATTATTTTAAATTTAAAATACACAAATATACAAAAAAAATTAAATATAAAAATTATACTAAAAATTAAAAATATATACATAAACCAGAGTGACTGAAAATGTTATTATTAAATGATTCACTGAATTAAGAGACAAATTCTAATTTGAGTTTTATTTTATTTAATAATATATTTATTTTATTATGTTCGTACATATCAATCTAATGTGAGTTTTATTTTATTTTTATTTTGCATAGACAAGTTTATTGTTCTAAATGTACAATGACCTCGTGTACCCTTTTGCGTAAATAATAAATAGAAAGCTAAAACCTTTATTATTTGTTAATTGAAGATATTAAGAAAAATGAGAAAAGGAAATTTGTATACAAAGTTTAGCTTAGTTAATCCATGTAATCATCCTTAATAGGTGGCATCCAGTAGGTTTAAGGTTTAAAATCTAAGATTTTAGTTCCGTTGAAATGCAACGGTGGCAACATGTGTTCCCAACGATCCACCGAACATGAACGTAGGATACGTTCGAACATGGTTCAGATACCGGAACCGGGGACGATCTGTGTGTGTTTCTTGGGGCATTCCAGTATTTCTTTGATTGAAACTTTCCACCTCATGCACCAGCTCATCTTTTGTATGGTTGCAAGATGTAATTACCTACAAGCAGCGTTTTACCAAGAAAAAGATTTTAGTGGAATTTTTTACTATATTTCTTTTAAACAAAATTCTCAGACAACTGATGTCTAAGCCTTCTCAGAGCTAATCTCAGGACTCGAAGAATATTTAAACTTAAAGCTCAAGCTCGAGTAGACTCGGGCAACTAGCAGGTGAAACAAAGAGCTCGTACTCGAACTCGAGCTTTGGTTCCAAATGCTCTTGTTTCAGATAAGCATGCAAATTTATCAAAATAAAATAAAACAATAAATGATGCTTACTAATACTCCACCAGGGGCCACCAATTTTGAAACCGAATCCCAGTACATCATCCTGAAAGGGAGAAGTTTTAAGGAATTTTTAGAAGGTGGTCATATAGAAAATAAAAACAAATGCACAAGTTAGAGCTACTGAAAAATTTAAAAGCTGATAAATAGACTGCAGTATCTTATTCATAAGTGCAAATTATACAATTCATATGATGAGATTCAACCGGCATCAACTAGAACGCCCTGATACTTAGCTATTTGTTAATATATATTGGCTTATAAAGGAAACAGAAAGGGCAAAGGGCAGAATTGCAGTAAAGATGGTGTCGTTATTACCTTTTGATAGGCCCATCAGGATGCAAACCAATAGCATCAAGAGTCCCCTTATCCATCACAAGTTGAAATTGTTTTTCCAACTTTGTCTCAATAATATCATCAACCTAAGGAACAATTACAAACGAAAATGGAAATAGTCAAGGTGCTTTGAGAATAATCAAGCCAGTAAGAGAAACTACCAATATGTAGGAATTCAACAAACAGGAATCTGTTTATGCATCATTATTGGCATAAGAAATCTACTACTTGATCTTTACCTCTTCAAATGGTTGATTGAAGTCTTAATAAATCGTTATCTTCACAACATGGAATATCAATTTCCTTTTTGGGCCACATAATTCACACCAACTCCCTCAAGTATACTTTTATTTATAGAGCCCTTTTTGAGGTTGGTGAAGTTTTAAAGGTGAAAAAAATATCTAAAAAGACCCATGAAATGTCTCCAGATTTCAGTTATAGGTCAGAAGTCCCATCCATACCAGAAACTTGATGCTTGAAAATCCATCTCGGTCGGCATGACTTCGAGCAACGTCAATTGTACCCTCACTGTAATCAATACCAGTCAAATCTGTGAACCTGGATTGAAAAATGCAAAGCATTCACTTCATATTTTTCTGAAAGTTCATATCATTACCATAAATGCAATGATAAAAAGAAACGTTTGTTATCCCCAAAATATATTTATCAGAAAGTTGACCCAAGGCCTACACGTATCTCACAGCATCATTAATTTAATAAAAAAAACACTGCTGTGATGGGCACAAGGTACACTCTAAGCACTAGAATCTTCATATCCGCAAAGCACAAATTCAGGATAATTGACTCCAGAGATTGGACCAGTTTATCCAAGGAACATGCTCTTTTTTCTTCTTTTGTTTGGCATTATTCCCATTATTAATAGTAAGGGTAAAGCTTAAGAAAATAAGTTAAATATAAAAGATACTAAAGAGAACTTAATTTAGACTCTTTTTTCCCCTTTCCTTACAAATAAGTGTACCTAGGCACACCAGGCATGTGCTTGATCAAAGTGCCTCACCCGAATGAGTATGAGGTGCTTTTTTTGTCTGGGTCTGGCACTAAGGTGCAACACCCAGGCCTGCCTGGTCACATAACTTGACAACACTGACAAAAATTTTATAGAATAAAACAACACCAAAGTGACATACAATGAAAAACAAATTTTACACCCCAGTCAACTGTAGAGGTTTTCCCTGTTAATCCAATCATTAGCATGTCTCTATAACACATAATAATAAGCCTTAGAAAAAAAATTACCAACAATTAACTGCTTGAGAATATATTCAAATAATATTTTATTTTATCCCAGTGGAGCAATAGAATGAACAATATGCAAGCCCAATTATTGTTGAACACTGAATTTATTTTATCTTGAATTGATTTTAGTAGCATATAATACCAGAACCACAAGCTAATCTCAGAGCATACCCCTGCTTAGCAAGTTCCTGAAGAAGCAGACCGTTGCCAGTGCCAATGTCAAGTACACTCCAGCAAGACAAATATTTTTCATCCTGTGAAACAGGCTCGCACTTGGCCTCATCAACATGATTTGGCATGTGACCTTGAGAAATATCAATACACAAGCTTTTGGTCCAAGAAGTAAAAGTATCAATGATATCAGCTCCAATCCTATTGAGAGAAGTAAAACAGTAAAGAAGAGACAAATTAATCAAAGATCTAAAGTGAAATCAGCGTAATGAGAAAGCTCTTAGAATCTTTCAATAATGAGAAAGTTCTTAAACCTGCCCCAGATAATGCGGAGTTATTGAGTCAGTAGGTTACTGGGGGGAAGAACCATTGAAATGCATATTTTATTAAATTCCATTTAACATATTTATAAATATAAATTACGTAATTATGTGATTAACAATTTTTTTCTATAGTATGAAGATCGTGCCAATAATGAATGCAAAACTACATAGTTATGGTTATACTGACCAAATTTCAGCAGCATGGCCATGTTCATGAGAATTTGCCAACTCATCTGAATTTGCACCATTCCTATAACTCTGAAGACTGAGCACTGTTGTCATTGCATCGGCATCTGGTTCATCCTTGTCAGAGCTGTGTATAGAGTGTATATAACAGAAACAGAAAACCATACAAATCCATGTTAAGCATATCAGCATGACAGATACATTATATCAAATATTCTTAGCAATGGATTAAAAGTATAATACTCTGACAATTCCACCCATAAAAGAAATATCCTAAAAATTAAACTAGTAACCCTGCATTTGGTTGTTACTTTTCCTACTTGACAGACAAAAGTACAATGTGCTTTTGGATATAATAATAATAATAATAATGTAGAAGAATTGAGAACAAAAATTACATAGAGAACAAACAAACCATCTGGACCTTTTTAAAAGGTCCTACCCAGCTCACGAGACTCCTCCTATAAGCAGGGTTTAGAGAAGTCTCAACGTATGCAGTCTCACCCTATTTCCAAGAGAAGCTGTTTCCAGGGCTTAAACTTGTGTTATAATCAACAGAAATTGACCATCGTGCTAAGCACAACATTGTAATCATATAGGATTTTGGTTTTAGACTATTGGCACTTGCTTTATAGAAATTTCTGAAAAATGCAATTAAAGAAAGGATCAAAATAGAAGCAAGAATTTGCTTCGGGGTTGTGTTCATTTATAAATTTGTACTGATAAACTATGTTGCCTGGACTTTTTGTTTTTCTATAAATCACTTATGCGCTAGACATGTTCCAGACAAGGCATGGGTATAGGGCTAGGATCCTTCAAATATATGGAAAAACTTAAACAAAATTAAACATACCCATGACAAACAGATATTTGTATCTGACACTCACCATGAGTTAGGACAACATAGCAGATAAACAATCATATACTGAAATCCAAAGATCTATTATTTGGCTGTGAAGAACTCAAAATGCTATAATTGATCATTTCAATAATTTTTGTTTTCATTCTTAATAGCATTGAATTGATCCATTCAGAAATGGTTTTTTAGAACAGTGATGCAAAAATTATTTTCCAGAAAAATAAGCAAGGCAAAGTATGCTATGAAATTTTCCCATTCAAAAGTCAATCCAAGAAAGTTAAATATTTTAATTTCAATTGTCAATAGATCAAATCTCATGCTTAAAATCCACAACCCAACAATACATAATAAATAATGTAATATAAATTTGAGCAAGCAAGCTAGATGTCATTTTCTACGACGGCAGCACACTTATTTATTAGCTCTCTTAAAAACTCAAAATCTAGTCATTCATTCGATTAAAAAACGGTGAAAATGAAAGATCGATAGAATTAGAACAGAAAAACCTGTAATATGGGGAAGCACGGGAATTGGCAGCGGAGGAGAGGGCTTCGGCGGCATCAACGTGACGCTGCTCATCGTCAAGTGTGCTTCCATAATCGCTCTTTATTGACCAGGAATCGGCAGCCACCGACCGCTCGTCGTCGGACGCCACATCTCGATCGGTTTGCAGCTGTTGTTGCGGCGGTGGATGTTGCTGGGTTGGATCCGGTGAGGACTCTTCCGGCGCCAATCTGAATACTGCCATGATTTTACAGTATTTAAATTTAGAATAAGAGGAAAGAAAATTTTATTAATTTGTTCGTGAGTGAAGAAAGAAGGGAAGTTGATTCTGTTAACAACTTCGGTGTTGTCGAACGAATGAAGAAAAATGGGAGTTTTTTTTTTAAACACACAAATGTCACCCAATTATAGAGTGATACTTTTTTAAGTAATATAATTATTAAAAATTACGAAATGATCCTTCGACTATTAAAAGTATAAAACTCAACTATTCATATATTATAAACTCGTATTTTTTTTATTAAAAAACGACGTTACTTTGAATTAGATGTTATTTTATTAACTTTGATTTTTCTTAAATCATCGATTTAATTTGGTATTATCAATTAATAAAAAATAAATATAAAAAAATACAAAAAACTTATCCGTATAATTTATTATATAATATTTTAATCAAAGAAAAGATAAATAAAATAAAATCATAACATAACATAATTAATACATTAATAAGGTTAAATAAATAGCTTAATTTTCTTAAAAAAGTCACCGCCTATTCTTTCACATATTTACTTTTTAATATTATTGATTGACGATGATGGTTCATTTCATCTTGTTTAGATGAACAATCACAGTTGATAATCAATTAGTTGTTAACCAATTAATTATGGAGAATGAAGGAGAGTATAGGCGGATTATTCGTTCCATTTTCTTTTTTTGGGTCTATGAGAGCTTATATAATGACCTCTTATATTTTATGGTGTCATACCTAGGATTATAATTGTTGTCCGTAGATTGATAAGATGATTTAATGTAAATGTCTATTAATAGATTTAGGTCTTATCAAATTTCTTAGGTTTATCAATTGTTTTTATCAAAAGATGATGGATTAGATAATTTAATTAATTACGGAGAAGTGATATCCTTAAAAAATATATAGAATTCAGTCGGGGTATAACAAATATCAATAATTTTTTATAGTGTTTTTATTTCTTTACATCAACCATTTTAACTTATTAAAAGCATGAAACATGCAAAACTAGACAAGAATCCCCCAACAAAATGAATGGCGAGGTACATTTATAAGGTAGTTTTGGCGAGCTTCCAACATGAAAAAGAGCTCCAATGTATGTTTATTGTGAATGAAACATATGTTCATCTAGAAAAGAGCTCAATTCACATAGGGAGCCTTGTTCACTTTATTTTAAGACTTTAGATGCGCTTAAGAATCACACTTATCAGGGTATTATCAACAGCATTCTCTCCAAAAACGAAGCTAGACTCCAAATGTTTCTGACCATAATATGTGAAGAACTCATCAACCATCTCATTTCCGAAATGCTTTTTAATCAATACTTCAAATCCAGCTCTTACGAGGGATATATAGTTCTCGGTACTCGGCAACGCCGGCACACGCTTTACCTGTCCTGTCATTTCATCAATACTCTCGATGCAGAGACGTCCATTTCTCTCGATCAATGCCTTTAGCTCCTTGGCTGTTGGAAAGTGTAGGGGCAAGTTAAAAGACTTCACCTTTTCTTCATCGATTAATCCCTGCCATAAGGAATCAGAACACAGGAATGGGATCGATGATTACCAAAAAAAAAAAGGTAAAAAAATACCTTGTTAGTCAAATCCACAAGGCAAGATCCAAGAAGATCATAAAATTTGCCGATTGCAGTCTGAGATAGAGAGATTCCATCCGGAATTCCACCCATAAGGATTACAATCAACCCTCCATTTACAAGCTCTTCAGCTCTGGCGTTCAAAAAGGTTTCCATATCATTCTCAAACTGAGACGCAAACGCTTTTGCCACTTCTGATTCAGTTCCAGTGCAATATATGCTTCCGCTGTTGTAAGCTGAAGAACCGCAATCAACCACTTGATTGGGAACTTTGGACAGCCATTGCAATGCATTCGCCGAGTGTCCGATATGGATCGAGGATTTAGGGAACAATCGTCCGTAGAACGAACCCGGAACTCCGGCAATGAAGTGTGGCCACGAGGGTGGGAGGGATTTGAAAAGGGTGTTGAAATCGTTGCTGGAGTGATCATTGAAGAACAACTGAAACTCCAGAGCAGTTTCAGGGTTGGTTTGACGGTGCTTTTGCTCCACTGCTTGTATGATGTTTTGCATGGAGAAAAAAGTGTTTGGTCCTGTGGAACACCCGAAGTCAGCTATGCGAAATGCTTCGGAACAAAGCTTCTCCATGTCAAGCTTATCTGCAATCGCGTGTATCATCATTTCTTTTGTAGCGTCCACAACTCCTTTCTGCAACGAATTAAGATTGTTAATAACTGGAATATTTCATATCAACCCTAAAGAATTACTAATAAGTTTTTCATAAGGATTACCTGCAAGCTAGAGTTTTTGGCATAGCTTAATGGGCCATCCCCACCTTTCATGGTGATTGATTGAGACGTTGTCGTTTCTTCATAGGCCAATTCCATTTTGTTCGAGAGAGGAGAAGCTTTTTTGTGGTTTTAAGTTCAATGGAATGATGAGGTTTATATATTATTCCTTGAAGGACTCCATGCTCAAGAACGATATTGTCTTTACCAAAGTCACTATCCCATTCGGCCATTACTTACATAGTAAATCCTATTCGTACAAAGAAAATCCAAGATAAGAGTTGTAAATACTATTACTTTGTAAACCGATTATAAAGACATCAAGCAAGTGGAAAACTTTAATTTTCACGAAAGATTCTATACAAGTTCAGAATCAATATGTCTGGCCGTCTCTCCTGGGCTTATCCAACTGCCTGCCAACAAAAATGTTCTGCTCACACACAATTCAACGCCGAACAACGTAGCAAGCAAAGCAAAATGGATAAAACCTAAAATGCTTTAGTTGTACTTCTTCTGGATTTTCTTTACATGCATGTCAGTATGTCATACTTCCGTTTATAGAATCTTGAAATCTTTTAAATTTTCTAAAATCTCTAGAGTTTTTCGAAACCTTCGTCGTTTTATATTTTTAAGTCAATTATGACCTATTGACATGATTACTGACAGGTCACGTGATCTACCAATTGTATTTATTGATAGTCAGATATATTCGCTATATTAACCTACAAATAATTATATCCTAAACTTACATAAACATTAAAGATTTATATATAAATCACCGTATAAGGCTAAAGGATAAACTTTCTCCCACTATCTCTATCATCGTCTTTAGTTGGTCGATTCTCTCTCATCGACTACATTTATAATCACTACAATCTTATTTTTCCATCAACAACTTTTTCAATTCGATATGGATTTAAGAGTTTTGTTTATTTTCGTTCACACACACGTGTGTGTGTATATATATATATAGTTTACTTTTATACAAGAGCTTTCTCAGTATGCGGTAGATAATGAATAACTTATAGTGCATTTAGTCCAAAAATAAAATAAAATAAACTACAATGCATCGATTTTTTCAACGAAATCCAAATATTGGATAACTTATTAATCAGATTAAAATTGATTTACCAATTTGCTAAGAATAAACCAATTGATTTGATTATTTGGCCGTAACTTAATTTATACATTTTTAGGACATAAAAAATCCAAATAATAAAAGGAATTGAACGAGGAAGTTGCTGGCACCAAAAATCCCCTGAAGCAGCAACGGTAAACGATAAGCCGATTTGAATTGTATTCCGATTAACCGACACCGACACCACCACCGTCAATGCCGCCGCTACTGGAACCCATCTGTACCAATAAGAAAACTGTAGCAGTAACCACAAGAATAATTTCATTCCATCCAAGTCGTCGACTATTTTAACTGAAAGTCAATAACTAAGCTTCACAAGCTTTTCCCATTGCTTGGGTCACCAAATTATGGATGTGAATGATCTCCTTTATCTTTGAATTTAATTAAATTAATCAAGGTCTATCACAAAAAATAAAATAAAAAATCAAAGCATAGAAAATATACATTTTTAATGGAATACATCTTTTTGAGTTTTGGTTGAGTTGGCAGGAAGTTATCTTGGATTAATTGATGGTGATGTTGTAAGAAAAAATAAAGCAAACAAGATGGGATGACTAGCTTTCTTATTTAGGACAAATTACATTAAATTTTCTTAAAATTTTATTTTTATATTATAATGTTAGTTTATTATTAAACTATAAATTGATATGGTTATAATAATAAATTCTAATTTTACGTACAATTATATCTTACATTGTTAATTCATTAATAACACACTATATTTTGTAAAAAATGATATAAATATTTGGTAACGACTGAAAGTTAAAGAAAAAAAATAAATTTTTACTTCACCTTATCATCTTCTTTATCAAAGTTAAGGGTTTTTTCACTCACTTTTAGTCGTGGTTAAAAATCACTATTCTTCGATGTCTTTTGTTATCACCCTATACATTGATAAATTTGTTTCTTCATCTTCTACCATTTTGTAAGTTTAAAAATTTCCAAAGTCTATTTAAAACTCTCAAGAAGATGAATAATTTAACTCACAACTAGTCTTATTAGATGATCATCGAGAGGGATCAAAATATTAGCATGTTAAACTTTTAGATGAATTTGTGTCGATTTTGATCGAGTTTCATGAAAATCCAATATGCGAAGAAAAAAGAGGAGTGAAATGCAAACATTTTGATACCGTTCTCAGTTCGAATGACGATCGGCGACGGAGAACGATTGACTGCCTTTGTGAACCAAAAAATTCAATATCTAAAATTGAAGTGTTTTAAAGTGTTTTGTCAAAATTAATACATAATCTAAAATATTTATATAATCTTCCAAAACCATGTCGTTTTGAACATCAATATATTTACACCAAAATGATGTTGTTTTGATCGTATCATCGCATTAACGGAAACTGTCCTTCATGTCAAACGCTATTTACTACTTAATAACCTAATAATATAATTAAACTTAAAACTAAAATTTAATAATAATGTACCATTCAATGCCATTTTTGACAAAAAAAATAAATGCTTTGTGATATTTAGTATAATTTAGTCTTATTTGACAAGGATCATTGAGTTTGAGATCACATTTTATATTGATTCCGACAGCTTAGAGATTGTAGCTTCCAAATTACATCACTGGAACTTTACTCTCCTCCTTGACGCGGGGCTTGGAGTTGGCTTGGCCAATCAATGTCAACCATTTCCGTCTCACGGCGGCACAAACCTCATCCACCCTCGAAGAATCTTCCAACACATTTTTCGGCATCCATTTGGTCTATTATCCCTCCACTCCACGTATTTTTTGAAGTTTTATAATTTAATCCCTTATAATTTAGTAATTCAGTATCCTCACATATTTGATTTGAAAGTTAAAGTTCAATTATTAACATTTTTAATTATACTATACTAAATTTGAATGTCTTATCAAAACAACCAAAGTGATTCTCCCGATCGGCGAAACCAGTGAATTCCATGAACCCATCAAAGCAGTCGAGCTAATGCTTGAAACCCAAACTTCTTTGTCGTAAACTGTAGGTCCCTCAAGCTCGGCCACAGGTTCTCTCCTCTCAATGCAGACGAAGATTTAGAATTGGCCAACGTACACGTCATGCTTCCGATGAAGAAAGTGAAGTCTACGGTCACCGCAGCTGACATGGGAGCTTTGCTTATTGCTGCGATTTCGGGATCCAAAAAGGGTTTTAGTTTTACCGGAAAGGTAAGGATCTTGCCGGAAACCGGTGAAGAGGAGAAAAGTACAATGCAGGCGAAGCTTAACTTGGATGATGCGGAAGAGTTTTCAACTCTAGAATTTATGCATAGGTTATCAATGTCAAGGTCCAAGAAAGCATTGCTAGAAACCATAGCCGAGGAGCCAATTCGTGGCAGATGAGGTGCTGGCAATTGTAAAACCAAGATAATTAATCATATCAAGGATTTCTGTGGAATGCTACCTATGAAGTTTCAATTTCTGCTATATTATTTGCAAGTAGCCGGCTTTGTGGGCGAATTGACACAAAAATCTTATATTTCATGTATTCGTAATGATATATATATATATATATATATATATATAGTACTTATTTAAAATAGTTTTATTATTGTTTTGTTATTTATCCCTGAGTAGTTTTTACATTAATAATAGGCATTTTGGCCAGTTTTTTAGGCAGTGATAAATAATCTTTGTTTTTTAATAAATTATAGTGTTCAAATTATCCATATCATTCCAATTAATATTGAATTTAAGGAATAAATCTTAAAATTATATATAAATTTTGGTAAAAGAAGATAAAATACATAATTGTTGATTATTATTTGATTACAATAGTTCTAATGCTTAAACATTCGTACCTATTTCATCGGTCATAATTTTTCGGTAAAAGTATGAGGTTAAAAATTTATTAAATGGTCTTAATGGTAAAAGAAAATAATTTTTTTTTTAAAAAAATTGAATTCGAGCAGTTATATCTACAAAGCGTGTGCGTTATCAATTGATTAAATTTTTTTAAACAAATATTATCTTATAATCATCTTAGACTATTAAAAAGAATTTGGACGTACGTTACATTCGACAATAACATTTTCTTTGCCGAAATAGTATTTTGGTCGTTCATAAAGGGTTTTTGTAGATCTATCAACGAATATTTTGATTTTAGGGCTATTTTCCACTATCACTAATGACAATGATATATTAAAATCATAATTAAATTTATTTTATATGTAAAAACATATAAATAAATCTTATATTGTCAATACTCTATAGAGCAATTGATTAAAATTTTTCAATTAACACATCTCATTTTTTTTAGATAAGGAGAAAAATTTGTCCTCCCCTTCTAGTTAAAAATTGTTTAAGAAAAATATAAACATACTATATTTTAATGTCGATATTCAAAATATTTTTTATTTTAAATTTAATAAAAAGGATTAATGTTTTTATTTTTTTAACTCATTTTTATTATTCTTTTAGTTTTTATAATATAAATTATAAATATTTTTTATAGAATTAATATATTTTAATAAATAATATAAATAAATTTTTATAATAGTTTATAATAGTTTATAATTAATATATTTTCATAAGTAAATATAATTAATTTTAATGCTTGTTTAGCCTAAAAATATTTTTTTTATTTTATATCATATTTTTTTTAGTTTGATGTAGTAATTAAGGGCTAGGAGCCTTCAGTCAAAGTTCTTGATTTTTATGATATGTATTATCACATCATTTATTTATTAAAAATATGACACGTAAAAAAAATGACATGTTGACTAAAACATGGTTAAGAACTGAACGGTTGACTGAAATAATTGTTTTACAAAAAAGATAATGTTTAAATATTTTAAATAATAATAATTGTAATTTTTTTTATAATATATGATTAAAGATTTTCAGTTAAAAATAAAATTTTTCATTAGAAGTAAAATTCTCAGTATCCTCCCCTAGGTAGACATTGTTAAAAAAAATGAAAATATAGCCATAATGCAAGATAAGTAAAAATGAGATGGCCACTAATGTAGTTTATCCAAGTAGTTTCCCCCCCAAAATTAGTTATTTGTTTCCCTCCTATGTTCTTTAGCTTCTCCTTCCAAATACTGAAATTTAATTTTCCACCAAAATGAAAAATAGTTCCGCGAAAATTTACTTTTCCATAAATTAAATATCTTTGTTGTTGAATTTTTTAATTATCAATTTCTTCTGGCCAGGTCTTTATCATTCTATGGTTTTTTTATTTAGAGTTCAATGAAGGTGCGAGAAGTTAGGGTTTGGATTAGTTGGCTAGAAAATATTGTGATTTCTTCTGATTCCTGACAATGATTGCCGCCAACATTACAAATGTCTCCGTTTTGAATAATCCAGCTTCATTCTTGACTCCATTTCAGTTCGAAATTTCGTATGAGTGTTTGACTCCTCTTAAAGACGGTACCCGTTTTTTTTACCTAATGCCTTTATTAGTTCGATGCATGATTATTCTGAGTTTATTTTATTATTATTATTATTGGTTTCGATTTGTCTTGTGGTCAAGGCTATTGGGTTTGTCCATTTTTTTTAACTTTCTTCTATTTGTTTTATGAGTAAATGGTGGGAAACAAAGGATTTAGCATGGTCTAAATGAGACTATTTAGGTAATTGGTGGTATAATGTTGGGCTACGATTGCAATGTCATTGAATTGAGATTTTGGTTAGGCTTAAGTGGAACTTTACTTTCAAGTTTTGTTTGCATGTTTCGATTTTTTATGAGCTTAAATAAAAGGCTTTTTTTCATGATTGAAACTTGGAAGTTGGAATTTTCTGGAAGTTCTGTTCTTGAGAAAGATTAAGCTTTGTGGGAGTTGGCAAATGTAATTATATTTCCTTGTGTTTGAAGAAGAAACTTTTTTGAGCTGTAAAGCAATTTCAGATACAGTTAACTTTCCTTAGTGTGATCTCCAAGTTAATGGGATATGCAGTCTGATTCCCAATTGAATGCTGTTAGGATACATGAGCCTAGCTGACACATGTACACGATTTTCAAATTTTAAGGATGCATAATCTGGATATTTCAGACGACCTTGGGAATTGACTTAAAAGTTAATTGGTTGCTCATAGTTATCATATGCGTAAGCATTTTCAAGTTCTTATAAAAGAGAAATGTAGGAATGCCAATTGTAATTTTAGAAAAGTAGCATTTCAGCTCATGGGCCTGCTTTTGTGTCTTAGCTGGGAAGACACCATTGAATGTTACTTGGACTTAAGTTTCAGGCTTGGATACGTGTAACATGGATGCTTTCTATTTTTCTGAAGTCTCTTGTTACATTTGGAAGGTTTGAATTCCATATAAATCCACTTTCTGAGTTCGAATGCATCCAAATGGGTGCTTGTGGAAGGTGAAGATTCACAAAAGAGAAAATAACCTCAGTGACAAAAAATCTCAGATAATATACGATTTTGACCAACTTTTTTTGGATTTGCGAAAATGACCAACAAAATCGCAATGCGATCTTTAATTCGCATTGCGATCTCCACTATCACAAATTCGCGTTGCATTTCGCGTTGCGATAGTTGAAAATCGCGTTGCGGTTTTTCATTGCGATAGTCTACAATGTCGTTGCGATTTTCCAAATTCGTTGTGATAGTCTACAATTGTCGTTGCGAAAGTCTACAGTTGTCGTTGCGATTTTCCATTTCGCGTTGCGATAGTCTACAATGTCGTTGCGATTTTCCAAATTCGTTGCGATAGTCTACAGTTGTTGTTACGATTTTCCAAATTCGTTGCGATAGTTAAAAAAAAAGATTTTGTTTCTTAAGAATTTTCTCTAAAAATATAATATCCGCGCGGACGTGTCGAAGACACGTATTACCACGACCACGACCACGAGACGAGACAGACGGCGGCGGCGGCGGCGCTCGAGAGTCCCCCTTGTTCTCTATCACTCAATAAGGAAGTGGGAAAGCCAAGCCTTAAATATAATTCCCAATAGTGTTTCTAATACTATGTGGGATTTGAGCATTACCAACACGTGTTCTCAATACTATGTGGGATTGAGCCTTAAATAGTGATATTATTTTTGAATGTTTTGCTTAAAATTGCAATAATCGCGATTGATTGTAGATTGACTTTTAATTATGACATATTTAATCGTATAATACTAATGCAATTGGTTGCTGATTCAATTGTTTTAAGGTGTATGATTGTTAATTATTTCCTGAATAATCACATTATATTGGAAACAAGTGTTGGTAATGCTCAATCCCACATAGTATTGGAAACACAATTGAGAATGGTATTTAAGGCATGGCTTTCCCACTTCCTTGTTGAGTGATAGAGAACAAGGGGGACTCTCGCGCGTTGCCGCCACCGTCCGTCGGGGTCGGGGTCGGGGTCGGGGTCGGGGTCGTGGTAATACGTGTCTTCGACACGTCCGCGCGGATACTATCTTTTTAAGAGAAAATTCTTAAGAAACAAAATCTTTTTTTTAACTATCGCAACGAATTTGGAAAATCGCAACGCGATTTCCAACTATCGCAACGCGATTTTCAATTATCGCAACGCAAAATGCAACGCGAATTTGCGATAGTGGAGATCGCAATGCGAATTAGAGATCGTATTGCGATTTTGTTGGTCATTTTCGCAAATCCAAAAAAAGTTGGTCAAAATCGTATATTATCTGGGATTTTTGGTCACTGAGATTATTTTCTCTTCACAAAAATAACCTTAAGGTGAATCCTTTACTTTTGAGTCTTCTACAATTTATTTCTAGTTTGTGGGAACTATTTATTAACTTCTCCTTCTACAATTCACAATATGTCAGTACCGCAATATAGTTGGCCATATTGCTGGTAAGAGCAGCATGAATGCATATGTAATTGGTGCCCTGAGCCCCTGACCGTGAAAGGCATAGAGGATCCATTATTTGGAAATCAAGTCAATCTAAAATTTACAGCATGTGTCATGGCATAAAATCATGTGGTGCAGTAATACTTAACCATGTTAGGTTGTCTTTCTTTTGAGATATATATTTTTTTCTATTAAAAAATAAATAAATTGTGGTAGTTTGACTTTACGTCTGTGGATGACCTACTAACATGCAGAGTCTTAGGTATGCTTTGACGCATGTTATGTTATTACAATATTGTGTGTCGGATTAATGATTCAGCTCGTTGGAAGGGGACTGAAACCCCCCAGCTCATCAAAGGGAAACTGAAACATCCCATTAAATGTTGAAACAGTGATGCAAGTTAATCTGCACTAGAGCATTCAGTTTGTTTCTCATGTCAATAGCTTGTCCCAAAACTCTGGCTAGAGTAACACTGTTTGTTTTCTTTCTTTTCCAGTCTGGGGAGGAGTCCTGAGCATAAAATTTAAATTAAAATCTTTTTAGAATAGTAACTTCTTACTATTGACAGTTTTTTATCTGTCATATATAACGACAACAGGTTTTTATTTTGTTCACATAACATATATATATATATATATATATATATATATATATAAATGAGGTTAAATTGTTCTCATGTTGTATTGGCTTGCCAGATTTAGAATGGAAACTTATCTACGTGGGATCTGCAGAAGATGAAACTTATGATCAACTATTGGAAAGTGTACTTGTTGGACCTGTTAATGTTGGAAATTACCGCTTTGTATTTCAGGCAATCTCTACTGACTCGGCTTTTATTTCTTTACAGTTTATGAATTTGATGTATCTGTTTCAACATTCTATCTGTCCTTGAAATGTTGCAGGCTGACCCACCAGATCCATCAAGGATTCGAGAAGAAGATGTTACAGGTGTGACAGTGCTTCTCTTGACTTGTTCATATCTTGGCCAAGAATTTGTGCGAGTGGGCTACTATTTTAACAATGATTATGATGACGAACAGCTTAGAGTGGAACCTCCCCCGAAGGTGTTGATTGAGAAAATCCAAAGAAATATTCCATCTGATAAACCCAGGGTGACAAAGTTCCCCATAAATTTCCACCCTGAGAATGGGGGAAATGAAGAACCCTCGTCAGCCGATCACCCTGTTGAAACCAAGGAAGTTCTTGCTTCACCAAATCAAATATAGGAGCATTTCATCCTGCAGCCATTGTCGGTATCCAAGATAGATAACCAGGTAACTTTTCTGGGGATTGCACTCACAATTTGAACCACAGAATGAAGATGCTTAATGAAGTAAAGGTCCAAAAATGTCGTGTTTGGTTCACACATTTGTTCATTAGATTCATTTGATAGGATAACTGTTTCGGTTAGATGATTTGCCTTGGGGACTTAAAGTTGTTCCAAGTTTGGAATATACTTCCCAAGGAAAAGTTTCATTTGGTTTAGCTTTTACTATCATGAACAGTGCCATCCTTTACAGGCATTTTGATTATGTTGACAGACTGTTGCCAGCAGTGTCATTCTTAATTTGGCATTAAAAATGGTTTTCATTGTGGTTCTGTTTGGCTATTTATTTTGCTGTATCTTCTATATTTATTTCATCTTTGACTAAAAGAAGTGGACATTCAACTTTATGAATTGAATTTGAGAAGCCCAAATAAGGTCAAAGTGACAGATTTAATTAGAACATTTTCAAGTTTAAGGAGTAAATTAAAATTTGAATCATAGTTGAGGAGCTTGTTTTGAAATTAACTTATTCCTTTAAACATTCAAACATACAGGGTGTGGTTGGAAAATGGATTTGTGTGTAATTGTTGACTCTAATTGGGAATCGAGGAATTACGTGGCTAATTAATTTTTTTAACAGAAGTCGCGGGTTTTATTAAAAGAAAGATACTTAGAATTATAATGAATCTTCATAATTGTAAATTAAAAACATAATTAAGATTTTTTTATATAACTATTAAGATAATCATAAATTAAATATATAATTAAGATTTTTTATATAATTATTAAGATAATAAACTAGTTATTTAAGATCACAATGAGATGAAAATTATAAAAAGGGTGAAAATTATTGAAAGATCACTGATAAATCATATATTAGAGTCGAACGACGTGAAAAAATTATCTATGAACATAATCCCGTATTCAATCCATTATGAGGGTCTAAAGTAGAAAAGATCACCAGGATAATAAATAAACGTCTTGATCAGTCGAGACGTTGTTAAATCTAACACTGAGAAAAAGATAAAAAAACAAAAAGAACGATTGAAAATGTGTCATAAATATAGAAAAAACGTATCATAAAGATAATATTATTAAAATTAAAAATCAAAAGGGAAACAAATGTATAATATAATAAAATAAATAAAAATAAAAAGTACCGACGGTCTATAATTATTACTAAAATTAATGTTGTCGTCGACCAATTAAAAATAAAAGAGTAAGCGACCCAAATGAAAAAAAAAAACCTAGGGAAAAAGTGTGAGCGGCCTTGAGTTTATTTATTTGCAATACTCTTTGATTAACCTTTTGTGGGTAACTATTCTCTAATTAACCAATCTTATTGTATTGTGAATAATTGTACTTTATCAATAAATATCTATAACTTTTAGAGTTTTACGTGATAATATAATTATTATACTAATTGTTCAGTAGTTGTACTTTCTTACTATTATTCTTTGATGTAATTAAAAATAATAACTACAACATAAAGTAAACACTAATATACAATAGGAAAAACATGATGTTCAATATAAAAAAATTAAAAATAATAATTACGATGTAAAGTAAACATCAATAAAAAAATGGAAAAATATTATTCATGATTAATTAAGTTTAATTTAATTGATATTATTAATAATATAATATACAAAACGATGTAAAATAAAAAATATTCAATATGTTTATGGTTGTTGTTGTCGGTATTTTTTTAATGTTTTTTCATTATTTCTTTTATTTTTTTAATAATTTTGTTTTTATGACATATTTTTCATTATTTTATGCTACATTTTCTATGCTTTCATGACACGTTTTTTTGTTTAGTATGTTTTTAGTCGTTTGGCTGTTGTTTTCGTTTTTTTCCTCAATGTTGGATTTGATATATTTACGATTGATGAAAATAGTGTGCATATTTGTTAGCATGTTGATCTTCCATGCTTTGAATTCTCGAATTGAATTTGGATACACGATTTGCGTTCATGGATAATTTTCTTATGTCGTTTGGCTCTGATTTGTGATTTGTCAACGATATTTCAGTAGCTTGATCTTATTTTCTAATTCTTTGTAACAACCTGGAAATTTCAAAATAATATTTAATTGGAATTTGAAGATTTAATTGTGTTATTGGTGAAAATTTAGGGACTAAATTAAAAGATTTTAAAATTTGTAACTTGTTTTAGAGTTAAAACAAATTCAGGGACCAAACCCTAAATTTGCCCAAGAAAAGTTGGTAATGTTGGGCATTATATACGGCAATTGCTCATATATTCTCCCAAATTTCCCTCTTCCAACCTCAACTTCCGACAATGATCCCGACGCCGTCCGAATTCCGATCGTCATTTTGAAACTACCATCGTGTTCGTTATCGAGTCAGGAACAAATCCCTTAAGTTAATTGAAGTGAAACGCTGCCAAACGTCGTGAATTTTAAGTCAAAGCATCGACGTTTTTTTAGCACAACCGCCTAGAAAATCCTAAATTCATCGCCGATCGTCGCTCCGTTTTTGACACCTCCCGTACCATCGTGTTCATTGTGTCGTTCCGAGTCCACCGGTGTCCTCCTTTTCTCCGACGGCGGCGACGCGTGTGGAGGTGAAGCGGTCAAAGTTTCCGATTTGTTGGAATCGAACTCTCCGCCGTTCAAAAATTTGAACCGAGCTTTGTAAGTATCTCGAAATCGCTCAAAATAATTTTTAGGAATTTTTACATGATTTTTAAGACGCCGGAAGACGTCTCATGCGCCCCCACGTGCCGTCACTGCGCGTGGGGAAGGCAGAAATGACCGGTTCAACCGGTTTTTCAAAGGGTTTGACCGTTTTGACCTGACCCGACCGTTGACCGGGTGATATTTTGGGAATTAATTCGAAATGGGTGTTATTTTGAGAATTAATTCGAAAAGGGTGCTATTTTAGGAATTTATTCAGAAAAAAGTGCTATTTTGGGAATTTAATTCGAAAAAGTGTTATTTTGGGAATTTAATTCGAAAAGGTGCAAGTTTGATAATTATTTTAAAAAGGGTGCTATTTCTGTAAAATGATTGACAATTTGTTGACCACTTTTGACCAGAACTTTGACCAGCTTTGACCGGCTATTAAATAGCCGTTAATCTTTTCCGAGAATACCTATCCTGACAGTTTTCGACGTTTCGAATCCGTTTTCGGGGTTGGTTTCACAAAATTCAAAATCGAAAGTCTCCGAATCGTCAGTCAAACCCGTTGACTTTGATTTTGACCAAGAATTCAAATTTTCGGAAAGTCATACTTTATGTTTTTTGACGTCTTGAATCTGATTCCGAAGTCCGTTTTGCCAAATTCTGACCCGAAATTCTCGAATCGAGCTTGTAAACCCAAAAGGCTTAATATTTTAATATTTTGATTATTTAATTGAGATTTGTTCAAGGATTGATTCAATAAAAATATTTTATGAAGGTACTCGTGTTTCACCTGAGCAATGATCAATTAGGTCTGAAGTTATCCGTTCGTTAGATCAGCCTGAACCGCGTACTACGAGAATTACCCGTAGATTTCCGTATATTATTTAAATAATATTTAGATTATTTATATTAGGATTCCAATATGGATTTTTCCAATTCGTAGGATCTAGCGCTGCAGCAGAACGTGATCGACAAACCCAGTAATAAGCTTCCCTATCTGATTTCTCAGACTGTTACAAGTGTGTTTCCCGACAGTGTTAATTATTTATGTTTTAAAATATACATATGAACATTATGTATATGATATCTGATTTACCGCATATTTATGATATGATCTCTGGTTACGGTATTTTATACCGATTTTCTGAATATTGATTATCCGATATCTGAAATTTTGTATACTACTAATTTGTCTTCCGATTTCCGTATTTCTGTATATGATTTTTAAGAATGAACACTTTTATGTTTTAAAGAATTAATCATTGTTTTCATTCAAATACATTCATGAATAATCATTGGAGGGGTATTGTTGAAGGAAGTATATCTGCAGGTTCCTCGGCTTTGTGCTCAGGGTCTTATTTGATGTGTGGGCTGGGTGTATGGTTCTGGGAAACCTACACATTCTGATGTGATGGGTTGGGGGTAGTGTTCATATTTTTTTTAAAACGACATGCTTGCATAAACCGACATTACGGGAATATTTTTATGAGTATGTTTTTATATACACTGTATGGAACACACTGGGCTTTTCGCTCATTCTATAGTTTTTACCCCTTTTCAGATAACAGCAAACCGTAAGCTAGCAGATTTGGCATAAGGGAGATCAACTACTTATTTTGTACGAACATATATCTCTATATGTTTTCCGTTGTATCTGGTGACATGTATTTGCTATCGTTTTTGGATATATCTGTATTATTATTATAATGTATTATAAGATAAAAAAACTCTGAATGAGACATGTGACCACTTAGGTTTGGGTTTAACTTACAGACCGGGTCTGGGGGGTTACATTTGGTGGTATCAGAGCTTTCGGTTTTAAACACTCGGACTGTATATGGGTCTTAAACTTTGGATTTTTAAGAAATTTTGAAGAAAAAAAATGTGTCACCTTATGTTATGATTTAAAAGTTTTCTCGAGATCCTTGATGCTAATCTGACATATGTTTTAAATTCTTTCTGTAGAGCCTTATAGATCCAACGATGAATACTGCTAGAGGTCGTAGGACAGGACGTGGACGTGGTCGAGGGCGAGTCACTCGACCTTCTGTTACGATAGACGATCCGATATCATCACGTGATCCTCCTGTTACGCAAGTAGATCTGACTCTTTCTCATGATGATCAGTTTACTCCTGTGAGAGACCCTCTCGTCATTGAAGATGAGGATACTAAGATGAATGAAGACGCCATTAACAGAGCTATTTTCCGCATGTTTCAGAGAGCTGCTAGAGCCCCTAGTAACATGACTGCAGTGGAGATTTCAAATTCTCTGGTTGCTGCTGGTGTAGTTCCATTCGAGGGTATTACTGGTGGACCTCCGACAGATGCTGAGTATTGGCCGGAGGATTATGGATGAGATGGACCTCAGACCTGAGCAAAAGTTAAAGGGAGCACTAAATATGTTGAAGAAAGAAAGCTTTAGATGGTGGCAATCCATTTCTGGTAGTATTCCAAGGAACCAATTAACATGAGATCTTTTCAAGACGTGCTTCCGGAGTCGCTACATAGGAGAGAGATATCTGCAGGAGCGATGCCAGGAGTTTCAGAATCTGGAGCAGGGTAATATGTCTGTTAGGGATTACGAGGTGGAGTTCAT